CTATCTGAAAACTGCCTCTTATTAGCCGCTATTCTATATTCTTCAGTGACTCCAGAGTCTTCATTTTTCTTGATGGTTTCACATCAGGTTTTGAGTGACTTTAATAGTTAAAAGGCACTTGCATGTAATAAATCTGTACAAATGTACTTGCAAAAAATACACACACACACACACACACACACACACACACACACACACACACACACACCCATACCTTGCAGATACTGGTTAGGTTCCAGATCAATTCAATAAAGCAAATATCACAATAAAGTAAATCACGTTAATTTTGTGGTTTCCCAATGCATATATGAAGGGGGACCCAAACAAAAACTGGAATGTTTTGGAGGGTGGGCCCCTTTGTAGTATAGGCTTCCCCTGCTAGGTAAGTGTTCTAGCAACCTATCAGCATTAATATAAGCTAGCATTGTTGTAAGAGGTTCTGTCTGGCTATAGTGAACATTTTTGGAGATTTTTTCAGCATATTTGGCCATTTCATGATTTATGAGCACGCCTGCTCATACTCAGCAGTGTTCAGCAGTTTTTCACCAAAACCAGCATGACCTCCATGCTCTACCCTCCCTATTCACCTGACCTCACCCCAGTGACTTTGTTTTTGTTTCCCCATATGAAAAAAGTCCTCAAAAGGAAACGTTTTACCAGTGTGGAAGATGTGAAACAAAAAAAAACAGGAGAAGCACTAAAAAGCATCAAAACTGATGAATTCAAAAACTGTGAGCAGTGGAAAAAGAGTCTCAATAGGTGTGTTGCATCAAATGGAGAGCACTTAGAAGGTGACTGAAATTTAAACATATAAGAATAAATACAGCCGGGCTCGGTGGCTCAGCCTGTAATCCCGTGCTTTTGGGAGGCTGAGGTGAGTGGATTGCCTGAGCCCACGAGTTCGAGACCCGCCTGGCCAACTTGGTGAGACCTCATCTCTACAATAAATCAAAATGAGCCAGGCATAGTAGCGCGCGCCTGTAGATCCAGCTACTTGGAAGGCTGAGGTGGAAGGATCACCGGAGCCCAGCAGGTCGAGGCTGCGGTGGCCCACCGCACTCCAGTCTGGATGACAGTGAGACTCCAACTCAAAAAAAAATTAAAAAATTAAAAAATAAAAAGAATAAATACACAATTTTTTATAAACAAATTCTGGGTTTTTTTGTTTCCCCATAAATGTTATATTTACACAATACTGCAGTTTATTAAGTATACAATGGCATAATGTAAAAAAAAAAAAACTTACTTAAAAAATACTTTATGGTAGCTGGGCATGGTGGTACAGGTCTCGAGTTCAGCTGCTTGGGAGGTTAAGGTGGGGGCATTCCTTGAGCTCAGGAGTCAGATGCCAGCCTGGACAAAACAATGAAACCCCATCTCTAAAACAAAACAAAAGAAAATTAAAACGTTACTACTAACAATGCTAACAGTCATGAACCTTCAGCAAGTTGTAATCTCTTTGCTGGTGGAGAGTCTCAATGTGTATGACCACTGACTGATCAGGGTGGTAGTTGCAGTTGGGATGGCTGTGGCAATTTTCTAAAGACAACAATAAAGTTTGCCACATGGACTATCTTTTCCTTTCACAGAAAGTTTCTTTGTGGCAATGAGATTCTGCTTGGTAGCATTTTACCACACTATAACTTCTTTTACAACTGGAGTCAATCCTCTCCAACTTTATCAACGAAGTTTATAGAATATTCGGAGTCCTTTGTTGTCATTTCAACAGTGTTCACAGCATCTTCACCAGGAATAGGTTTCATCTCAAGAAACTACTTTCTTTCCTCATCCGTAAGAAGCGACTCCTCATCCATTCAAGTTTTGTCATGAGATTGCAGCAATTCAATCACATCTTCATGACCACTCCTAATTTTTATATTGCTATGTCCACCACATTTGCCGTGACTTCCTCCACTGAAGGCTTAAACCTCTCAAAGTAATCCATGGAGGTTGAAACCAACTTCTTCCAAACTCCTGTTAATGTTGATAATTTTTACCCTCTCTCATGAATCAAGAATTTTTTTTTTTAAATTTGGAGTCTCATTCTGTCACCCAGGCTGGAGTGCAGTGGCATGCTCACAGTCACCCCAGCGTCAAACTGCTGGGCTCTGGTGATCCTTTGTCCTCAGCCTTCCAAATAGCCAGAACTACAGCCATGTGCTACCACGCCTGGCTAATTTTTGATTTATTGTAGAGACAAGGTCTCGCCAAGTTGCCCACGCTGATCTCGGACCCGCAGGCCTAGGCAATCCACTTGCTTCAGCTTCCCAAAGTGCCACTGAGCCCGACCAAGAATGTTCTTAATGGCATTTAGAAAGGTGAATCCTTTCCAGAGGGTTTTTAGTTTGCTTTGTCCAGATCCATCAGAAAATCACTATCTATGGCAGCTCTAGCTTTATGAATTTTTTTTAAGAGACAGGGTCTCTTGCTCTGTAGCCCAGGCTGGAGTGTAGTGGCACAATAGTTCACTGTAACCCTGAACTCCTGGGTTGAAGCGATCCTCCTGCCTTAGCCTCATGAAGAGAGGGCTACAGGGGTGTGACACCACACTGAGCTAATTTTTAAAGTTTTGTATAGAGAAAGGGTCTTGCTGGACTCAAACTCCTGGCTCAAGTGATCTTCCTGCCTTGGCCTCACAAAGCTCTGGGATTATAGGCATGAACCAGTGTGTCAGGCCATGAAATATAGTTTTAAAACAGGGCTTAAAATTACTCCCTGATCTATGGACTGCAAAACAGATGTTGTATTAGCAGGGATGAAAACAACAATCTCCTGGTATACTTCCGTCAAAGCTCTTGAGTGACCAGGTGTATTGTCAATGAGCCATAATATTTTTGAAAGGAATCCTTTTTTTCTGCGCAGTAGGTCTCAACAATGGGCTTAAAATATTCAGTAAACCATGCTGGAAGCAGATGTGTAGTCAACCAGGCTTTGTTGCTCTATCTATAGAGCACACGCAAAGTAGATTTAGCACCATTCTGAAGGTCCCTAAGATTTTTGAAATTGTAAATGAGCAATGGTTTCAACTTAAAGTCACTAGCTGCAATAATAGTTCCTAACAAGAGAGTCAGTTTGCCCCTTTAAGTCAGACATTGACTTCTCTTTAGCTAAGAAAATCCTAGATGGCATCTTCTTCTAATAGAAGGCTGTTTTATAAACATTAAAAATCTGTTAGCTGGGCTCGGTGGCTCAGTTTGTAATCCCACGCCTTGGGAGGCTGAGGTGAATGGATTGCCTGAGCCCGCGGGTTCGAGACCCGCCTGGGCAACTTGGAGAGACCTCATCTCTACAATAAATCAAAAAAATTAGCCGGGTGTGGTAGTGTGCGCCTGTAGTTCCGGCTACTCAGAAAGCTGAGGCGGAAGGATCGCCGGAGCCCAGCAGGTCGAGGCTGCGGTGGCCGGGAGTGGCCACTGCACTCTAGTCTGGGCGACAGAGTGAGACTCCAACTCAAAAAAAAAAAAAAAAAAATCTGTTGTTCAGTGTAGTCACCTTCATCAATTGTCTTAGCTAGATCTTCTGGATAACTTGCTGTACCTGTACCTTCTAATCAGCATTTGCTGCTTCACCTTGTACTTTTATGTTCTAGAGACAGCTTCTTTCCTTAAACCTCATGAACCAACTTCTGCTAGCTTCCAACTTCTCTTCTGCAGCTTTCTCTCCCTTCTCAGTCTTCATGGAATTGAAGACATGGCTTGCTCTGGATTAGGCTTTGGCTTTAGGTTTGTGGCTGGTTCTAACTAGACCACTCAAACATTCTTCACATCAGCAATTAAAGCTTTTTCTCTTTCTTATCATGCATGTGTTCACTGGAAAAGCATTCAAAACTTGGCTGTTTGGTACAAGAGACCTAGCTTTCAGTTCATGTTTAATTCCAACATACTCCTCACTAAACTTAATCATCTCTGCCTTTTTATTTAAAATGAAAGATGTGCAACTCTTTCTTTCACCTGAACACTTAGTCTTAGAGGACACTGTATAGTTATAAATTGGCCTAATTTCAATATTGTGTCTCAGGGACTAGGGAGATTCAAGGAGAGGAAGAGCGATGGGGGAAGGTACAGTTGCTAGAGCAGTCAGAAAACACAATATTTATCCATTAGGTTCACTGTTTTATATGGATGTGGTTATGCTGCCCCAAAACAATTCCAATAGTAACTTCAAAGGTCACCAATTCCAGATCCCCATAACAGATATAACAATGAAAAAGTTTGAAATATTTTGAGAATTACCAAAATGTGACAGTGACACAAAGTGAGCACATGCTCTCGGAAAAATTGTGCCTATAGACTTGGTTGATGCAAGGTTGCCATAAACTTTTGTTTTTTAAAAAACTGCAATATCTGTGACGCACAATAAAACAAAGTGTGTCTGATAAAGGCTTTAATGGACGCAGATTTTTTATTTTTAAAGAGAAAACCTGTAAGAAGCTTTACAGACAGCACTCAATAATTATTTGTTCACTAAATGGTCAAGCTGGGTTGGAGTGACTAGATTTTATAATTTCATTCTAACCACCGGTTACTATTTTTGATGCTTGTAGATGGATGGTGGTGCCTATGTCTATTTGGTCTTTTTTTTTTCTTCAAAGGATAGTGCCTAGAACTCCCCACTCTTCCTTGTAAGTGATGAAACTCGGTCACTCACAGAATACGAATTTGGTAGAAAAGGAAAGAAAGAACCAATCAGAACGCTCTCCGCAGCAGTTCCCAGCTTCTCAGGGAGGACTGGCGGAAGACGAGACTTTGTCACACCTCCTTTCAATCGGACAAAGAAGACCATATGGTTAAAGACGGTCGAAAATTCCTTGTGGATTAGCAGGCGAGGTGTTAAACCGCGGCGGGCCTGACTGTTAGCTAGAAGGCCTGTCACTCGGAAAACTGCTAGGCATTACGGATACATTATTTTCGGGGGGGGGGGGATCCTAGAGAAACAGCCGGCAGCTCCGGTGGTACCAGCACCCAAGATGGCGGCCAGGCGCTTCAGACGCCGGCTCACGTGACGCAGCCTCGCTCTTGCTCCCCTTCCCACCAGTCGCTCCTCCCCCTGCTTCCCGGCGTGACGGTGGGCGTGGTTCGTCTCCAGGCCCTTTCTTCCGAGGCCGGGAAAACCGAGGGATGCCCATGCGCAGTTGGACGCCTCGGGCGCGTGGCACCGCCTCTCCGCCCATCTCCCCGCCCCGCTGTCCTGGGCGGGGCGGGGCCGAGAGTCCAGCTGCTGCTGGCTACAGATTCAGTGACTTCCTTGTTGTGAGCACCGGCCCGGCAGTGTCCCGACTCGTAGCCCCGCTGTTCTTACCGGGACCGCTAGCCCGAGTCTAGGTGGCAGCCGCGGCCCCACCCCGTCGTCACCTTTTCCGCACAGATCCTTTCCCCGCACGCCCTGCGCTCCCTAACATGCCCAACCCCAGCAGCACCTCCTCTCCCTACCCCCTCCCTGAGGAAATTAGGAACCTGTTGGCAGGTAATGAGCGGGAAGGGGGAGGGTAGCGCTGACGGGGCTGGGGCGGGGGCGAGGGAACGGCGAGCCGGTGGGGACAGAAGCGTTCAGAGTCCTTACCCTACCTCCCCGCGCTTTACACGTCGTCTTTACAAGTCTTCTGGCCAGGGGGGGCGGGACAAGGAGGAGAGAAGAGGGGTGTTTCGTCTGAAAAAGGGAGTGGGCGTGCGTGTTGCAATTTGGTCCGTGGATGGTGGCGAAGCCCTTTTTGATGGTCTACACAGATGGGGTCTGGACGTCTGTGTGTGAAGACGCCGTGCGCGCGCGCGTTGACAGAGGGAGGAGGCGGGGCAGGGAGAGTGGGAGAGGGAGAGAACACTGAGGATAACGAATGCGTGTGTGAGAGCTGGGAGGGAAGTTTGAGGTCAAAGAGGTAGTTCTTGGGTGGCCTGGCCACAGAAGGTGGAGGGTGTAGAGATGCAAAGAGATGTCAGAGCCACAGGTGTTGGGGGTTTTGGGGTGGAAGGGTTTGCCATTTCTACAACTCCCCTTTTTCTTGAACATTCAGTACACTTTTGAAGAGGACCTGATTCTCAAATGGCCACTTGTCTTCAGCCTCAGTAATATATAAAAGCAAAAAAGGAAGGATGTGTTATAGTCCTACTTCCTGTGTTAACATGATGAGTGTAGTTCATCTTTGCACCCTCATCTTCCCCTTTTCAGTTTTACATGACCATTTATAGGAACTCATCTTAGGAGTTAAAAATGTGGTTCTTCAATGGTATTATGAACCCACTACTAGTTCAAACTGGGTATGGAGGTGTGGATTTTCACTAAGAACCAATGAAAATTTCTATTTTTGCACAAGGTAGACAATATATCTTTTTAAAAAGGTAGTACAAAACTCAGCTATCCTAATGTTCTGGAGTTTTAACTTTGTCTTGTGTACATCAGAATTCTGGAAACTGGTGATTGTTTTACTTCAAAAATGTATATCGAAATGTATATCTTTCAATATTGATCATAAATAACTGGGTTAAGAGTTTCTCTTAGATGCCTCTATTACAAATTGCTTATTTTAACTCTTAAAAACAATGTTATCTAAAATGTGACATTTGAAATATAAGTTACTGCTATAGCAGTGTGAGACCAAGTCTCCTAATATAATGTTATGCTATTTTGGTGGTTGGCATCATGAATGTGGTAGACAAAATAAGACTAAGTTTATGAATGTAGACTTATGTTTGTATGATCAAAGTACAGTGTGATGAATGCATTTGTGGTGGATAGTATTTCACTCTAAGATATGCTTGTCATTGATGGGTACCGCTAAGGGAAATAGTGAAAGAAGTATAAAGACTGACTTAAGGCAACTTTTATTCCATTATATGAGAATTTCACATGAATACTGATTGTTTTACTACAGTTAACATTTTTGTTGTTACAATGCTGGGATTGCTTGTTTAGCATATTACTATAACTAGATGAGAGAAACGTTTATTATTATTCCAAAAATAGATGTCACCATTTTCAGGATACTTTAGGTCTGTACTTTTGAAATTAAGAACTAAAGTACAGACCTCTGGGTGCCTGTTTGAAGACTTGGCAGCTCCCACAAGAGTTAGTTTGTTATTTGGATCCATGATCATACATTCACAGATAGTATGATATATAGTTAGGAGATCCTTTATTCTCTGATTACCACAGATCACAAGTATTTCATGTGGTCCTTATTTGTGTAATTTAACTAAAAACTCAAAATTACATTTTAAAATTATCTGCCAATGCTAACTTCCTATATCTTTCTGCCATCTCTCTTTAGTCAGATAATATAGGAGCGTAATGTCTGAAATCAGCTTTTTAAGTCATTTCACTGGCATTTAAAATATTTTGTTATTAAAGCAAATCACATATTAAAACACACAAAGTACTGAAAACTAATATTAAAACATTAAAACTTTGGAGATTATAAATGTGGATTACACTTTATTTTCAGAGGATGTTTTCAAGAAGTATGGATATGAGTTGGGGGGATAGAGATATTTAAAAAATGGGACAAGTGAGTCAGTGTTTTTCAGGTTGTATTTTAATTTAATTTAATTTTTTTACTTATTTAGAAACTTGTTAATATTTTACTATAATTAAAACTTTTGAGGTAGGGAAGATTTCAAGAATAGATACTCTCACAATATTGTTGGGATTGTGCATGATGATTTTGTAATTCAAGTGCATTGGGTAAAAAATATATGAGTAGATTTAGAATTACTAAAACTGTAGAGGAAGTATTGGCATCAGTTTGAATTTTAGAGATATTGCTGCCTTAGTACATTTTCTTTGAAATTAAGGAGGAGATGTTGGTAGTGGTGGTTGTAGTTAACAATGGAGTGCTCTTAGAATACATGGCACTATGCTGGAATTCCAGGGTAGAGAAGATAAGGAACTAAACTTTTCAGGAGTTTAAAATTCTTTATTTTTGGAAAAAAGAATATAAAGTCAAAAGATAGTGACTATTAAAGTAACATTGCTTAGATACTTCTGTTTGTGTTCTGTGTGACTATTACACAAATTATTATATGTCTCATGAGTTGTATGAAACTTCATCTGCTTATTAGGGATAGGTACTCAAATGTGTTCTTACCATATTTATTGTTTTTCTTTCTCTTTATTTTTTCTTATAGCAGTTCCAAGTTTACCCTTTCAATATTTGTTTCCTTCCCCTTATTCCTTCCTCTTTAAAGAACATTGTATAGAAATGCACAAAAAAAAGAAATTGTCATTCTTAACTCACATTTAATGATACCCTTGAAAAAGTGGCTACTAGATAGTTTGACTGTTAGTTGCAACTATTTTCTGTGGAATCGGTATATTAAATCATGGTGGCCTATACTTTTTATAAAAGTGTTGAATTATTCTTTCGGTTATATGAATAGAAAAGGGTTTACAGAATTTTGTTGTTAAAAGCACATTTGAGCCACCATATGTACTACAGGCATTCTTTGATTTTTTCTTCTTTTTTTACAACAATGGAAGATCAGGTTTAGCCTGGATAATTGAAATCAAAGGATAATCCAAAATCTTGTCCATTTAATCTTCTCTCACATCCAAATATTTTGACTGGGACTTACAGCAAGAATAATCTTGATTTATGTGAGTCTTTTCCTCCAGGCAGTCAAGAAAGTGTGAGAACTAGAACTACTGCCCTCCAGCCCCTGCATTTGTTTGATCATTTTTAAAATAATGGTTTTAGGTCTACAAATGTAAAAAGGAAAACTTTAAGAGGATATTATTTTCTTTTTACTAAATTAGAAAATAAAACTATAGTTTAAAGAAGAAAATAATGGTTGTTAGTACTCTAAAAAATCAAACTAAACCAAACAAACAAACAATAAAGTGACTATATGATTTCTGCAAAGTGACCTTGAGATTTTGATCACGTGGTAGTCTTGATTAGAAATATTGCATTTTTCCCTACTGGGGATTTCCAGAACATTTTTTTTAACCTTCACACATTATAATTGATAATCCCTTCAGGGGCACTCAGTAAAGAATGCAATTCATTTGAAATAGGGGCAGAATTTTTTTCAATGCTAAGTATACTACAGTTTGAGTTCCATCTTTCCAAAGTTCCAACATTTTGGTTTTATTTTTCCTATGAGAATTATTTATGGTGTATCTAGTATCCCACAACTTCTTTCTGGGGCATTGGCTGAGTATGTAAAGGGAAGAGTGCCACCTACTGAGTCACCACTAGTCACCTACTTCTTTAGCACCTGGATTTTCCTACGGAGCAGGAACAAGCCTGCCCCATGTTGGCAGCAATAACTTATGAGCCTAAAATTGATATGAGAACATTTAATCTCAAAATGAAATCAATCTATGACACCTCCAAGATTTTCTTTTCTAGAAAAAGCAATATCTGTTTGTAAATCAACCAGAAATGTATAGAGTTTTTTTTTTATGGGTCAAATAATATAGATGAATTAAGTTGTAATATGAGGAAAATTATTTGCTGATTTATTTCAAACATAAAATGTCCTACTTTTTCTTGGAAGGGGATCTTTTGGCATGACTTTCCATTGTAAATATTTTCATCTCACATTACTAAATAAGGCTCTTGATCTTATGCACAGTTTTTATAGCTACTCAACCCAAATTATCATTGGTTTCCTTTAAAAAGAGGAATCTAAACATACTAAAAAATGAGCAACATATGAAAAATTTGCAAATGACTCTATCGCTACTGTTATCAGCATTAAAGTATTACTGGAAAGAGGGTAGAAACAACAGAGTAGGAAAAGCCTCTGGTGATCTGAAACAGTTCGGTTGTCTTTCATAAATTTAAGATTAAGTGTCATATATGGGTGATAAAAGTGGCATAGGCTAGGTTTTATATACTCATTATTCACTTAGTTTGTCTTTTTCAATTAAAGCCATGTCTATCTTTTTCATTCCACTGAGTTTACATTTCTTTTTCAATCACATCCTGAACACATTGCAATAGAGGTTGCCTTAACAGTGAATGTAGTGTAAATCTTAGACTAATGTGTTATTCACTGTGGCTTCTTTGAAAATGCATGGTAAAAAGATTTTGATTATTGTAAGGTGCTATTTGTCTATCAAGAGGTATCTTTTAGAGGTTGAAAGATGTTCAGCTTTATCTTTCAACAGCTCAGCTTTCTATCAAAATAAATCATTTAGCCTCCAAAGTCAATTTTGAAAATTTTGTCAGGTGATTGGATTGTGAGACTCAGGTGTGTTTTACCCATCGCACTATAAGAACTCGGTGCCTGTTCATGTCTCTTTTTCCAAGTTCAGAAAGTCCTCAGTTCAACCATAACCTATAAAAGTGGTAGGTAATCAAGGGAAGGATATCGATTAGAACAATCAATAACTTTTCAATTAGCCACTTTCCAACTTTGGATATTTGGCTCCATTGATCTGCATGTGCCTAGTTTAATTGATTTTTATTTTTATGTTTTCACCAGTATGTGTTTGGTCAGAGTATCTGTCTGGTCTTTAACAGAGAAGAAAAGCATGTCTCCCCCCCCCCCTTTTTTTTTCTGATTGCAGTTTGAATTCTAGGCTAGGATCCTTAGCACATTAAGTTTGGTGACAGTCACTACAAAGAGAAATCTGGCCCAGTTCTTAAAGTAGAGAGATGTGGGATTAAGTAGTAAAGCTATTGGAGGTGCTGTATGATTGGTTTTACACTTATTTTATTGATTTGGGGCTGAGCATATGGTGGTGAGTTAAGTCCAGTTTTTGCTACCTCCCCTATAGAATTCGGGCCATCAGAGGCCGAGTGTGAGCCTGCATGTGCAGGGAGGTATGGGTGGTTGGCAGACTAGGCGGGAAGGCAGGGGGTGTTGTTACCTTTGTGACTTGTTTACAACCTCCAGCCTGCAAGCTCTATTCCAGGCTGTTGGGTAGTGGGGGATGGTGAGGACAAGTGGTCAACCCTCGGTGCTTTTCCGGAGTAGGAATCTATGCTAAATATTTAGCCTCGAAAAGCTGAGCGCTGTTTTATCATTGCAAAATTTTTTAGACTGTTTTGATCTTGGGTGGTTCCACCTTTTCACTGTGTGGTCTGTGCAGAAGCTGGTAGCGTGTATTAGATACCGTCCTAACCATTTGGGACTCTAGGGGAAGACAGGGTGGCAGTTTTTCTAGGAAGTATGTATGTTAAAAAAAGTGTATGTGTGTGTGGGGGGGGAGGGGGATTGGCGTACCATTCAGTGATTCAGCGTGTAAATGTTTGCCTGGTAGGGGTCTCCAGGCTGAGAGATTTCTAACTTAAACTGATCAAGGATTGCTGAGTCCGAGCTTGTCATTTTTGAATTTTGTCTTCAGACCTTAACATTTAAGATCAGCTGTAAATCTGGTCTTTTCAGCAACCTTCTTCCCCAGATCCTTACAGCTGTACCGCAAGATAAAGCTTACTCTTGACAATGTTACGGTACAAGAGGAGCAAAAATCACCACCGCGTTTACTTTCACTGGGATAACTTTTTCCTGCCGATGCGGAGGCTGACGGAGATGGGGCTAATTCTGGGGTTACATGCAAGTGGTGCAGCCCCTGTGATCTACGCGACTGCTGGTCCTAGAGGCAGGGGATGAGGGTAGTTAGACCTGGCGCGTTGCGGGGGCGCCCCCTTTCCCGCAGTGCTTGAGTGGGCCTCCCACTTCTCTCCGGTGGCGGGTGCGCGGGTGTGTAACTGGAGCTCCTCCCTCCGTGGAAGAAGAATTCTCAAAACCAGGCCAAGAGGCGTGCGAAGCAGGCTGACCTTTTCTTGTCATCAAATTAATGCGTTTCCCTGAATCACAGGCAGTCAGGAGTCGGTGAAATCTACATATTAACCGAGGGACATGGCCCCTTAAAGGAAGGTAGAGCAGGGCTAACCCTCTCGCTGGTTTACCACCCTTGCTAGCTTACTGTTTGCAGGGTTATTTAGAGCATTAGAAAAAGCTTCAAATCTCTTTCCAACCAGTCAGAGGAGTGCTTGATTCGCCTGAGTTTTATTGCTCGCTTTTGAAATATTACCCTAGCTCTGAGCTACAAAGCAGCAGATCCAGCTCCATTTGTCTGGCAAGGGCTCTGCCCCAAGCCCGACTCTCCCTGCTGCCAGCTCCGTCTGAGGGGAACCCCGGGGCTTAACACTGCCGGTGTCGAGCTCCTGGAGTTCCTCGGAGGGCAGAGTAGGAGCATCTCCCAGGAAAGCCCTCGGAACTTCTTCCCGGCGCCGGCTCAGCCCGTCGCGCTGGGGGCGCTGACCATGCGCGCAGGCACCGCACGGGAGGCAGCGCGCGTCCCGGAGTCTCCTGTGCTTGGAGAAGCGGTTTTCGTTCCGTGTGAAAATAAACGGGCCAAGTGTGGATTGTAAGAAATCACCTAGATTTCAAAAGCTGAAAAACCAGCCGATCTGTGGACAGCCAACAAACTAAAATTATTGCAGGAGACGCTTCCATTTTAAAGTTCTTTTTTTGTTTTAAAAAAAAAAAAATCAGCAAAACAGTTCCTATTCTCCTTTGAGAAATAATTACGAAAAAAGTAGATGTTTATAAAATAATTTTGGCTGCCTTAAACCCTTTTCTGGAAAAAGCCTGAGAAAAGTTTGTTAAAAAGACCACTCAAAAATATAAATTTTTGCCCTGAACCTCTCCCCCCACCTCGATAAATACTGATCCTTCCTGCAGTTCTATACGCTTTCAACAAATCTTTTCTGGTAAAATAGCACGGATCGGTATTCTAAAAACTTTTTTGGGGGAATGTAAGGGACTGCTATTTAGAGTATTGTAGCCTTTTTTGTTTTCTGAGTTTTTATAGAACTGAAATGACCTTTTAAAGAAAAAAACTCTTGAGCTAATTTGTTATTGCTTCCAGAGATAGAAAATAGATCCTATTTGTTTAAACTTGGATTGTACACTGAAAATGTAAAATAGGCAATTAAATACTCATGGAAGAGGGAATTGAAGACAAATATTGAGAGAAAATAACATTAGGCAGACTATTCCAGTCTTTGTGCCAGTAATTCTCCCAAGTCCTGAGTCCATTTGGAAGAGTGAGCAGTAGGGATGCTGCTGCTTAGCTTATTTGCTCTCTTAGGAGAGCTACTCCAGCCATCTCAGGGGAGCACTGCTCTTTTCCATTTCAGCTCATGTCTGAATGTCTAAAGGTTGCTTGCTCCTTTGCATACAAAATTTAAAGAGTTTAGAGCAGCTTTTTCTTGTTTCATTATTTTGAGCTCACTTTACAAGTATGCACTGCTAGTGGGTTGTCTCTATGTCCCTCTTCAAAATATTGGCAACTCAGGGAAAAAGAAGCTGTGACATTTTGCTTCCATTTTGTTTTGACATTTATTTTTAGCACATGAGTTGGTAATGAACCTCAAACTGTAAGCTATTTTTTCAAAAAAGAAATACAATATTTAATCTTAATTCTTTCACTTGTCACATTGACTTAGTGAAAAATTACCTTTACACATTTATTATGTATGTATACCAATTTAATAACTTTCTTCATTGCATCAAGTATTCAAAATCGATGACATTCTATCCCATGTACTAGGTTTTAAATTGTTAATTGTAAGTATAGGTGAAAGACTGTTATACTGCTTTGAATTACTTACATGTAATGTTATGTCTGGTATCATCTTTTTATCAGTGTTAGGAGACAAAGTAGTTAAATAAAAAGAAAATAAAACATACATATATCTCTTCAATATGAGACATGGATAATTTATAGCCATACCTACTTAAAATTTTTAAAAATAATATCCTTGATATTAGGTATTTCAAAATGAACTTTGAAATTCTGAAAATAAAAGTCATTTAAGTTGCACAGTATTTCATAAACAGTATGAATGGAATTATTATAAAAGTCAAATCTGTAAGGACTGGTTGGAATTTTACATAAGAACCAGAAAACAGAGTAATTTAGAAGTTTACTAAAAATTTTAAAAAGTGGCTGTGAAGGAGTGACATATGAGGTCATAGAAATCTTATATCTTGGTTACTATATTTTTAAATGGTGGAAGAATCTATGTTTCTACTTCCTTAAGAATGATTTCAGGTGGTAATACCTGAATACAAGGCAGGAAGACAGAGCTCAGAAAATTTCACAATTGGTTATCATTTTTTATTTGAGGGTGGCCAAAATGGGTGGGGCAGGTAGGAAGGAGGAGGGGTTGATTTGGGAATCTTGGCTGGAAAAGTGGATTAATTTTTTCCTTTAAAGTAATAAACAGTGCATATACCTTAAAATGGATCACACTAGGGAAAACAGACCCTTGGCAGAGATACTAGTTTATATTGATATAATATTGTGAATGGCCTATTCATACAGGAACTTAAAATATACTATAAAATAATAGTAACATGTGCATAAAGCTTTGTGCTTGCTTTTATATAAGAGACTTTGTTTTATGGAGCACCAGAGTTTATTAAAACTTGTGTGCTTCTTCCTGTCTTAATAATGCCAAATATCCAAATGCATTTGCTGCACTAAGCATAAGTAGAGCAAACAAATTTCATTAACTAAGTGGTGAGCAGATTTGTCCAACTTAGTATTTGAAACATACTTCAACTGTTATGCTTTGGATTGATAAATAGTTATAAAAATTGTGCAGTTATTAACAATTATGTGTAGAAACAATCATTGTCTTATTTGTCTTTTAAAAAATGATTCCTATAATTTGTATTGTTTTCTTATATTGCTTGGTTTAGATGTTGAATCATTTGTAGCAGACATACTGAAAGGGGAAAATTTATCCAAGAAAGCAAAAGAAAAGAGAGAATCCCTTATTAAGAAGATAAAAGATGTAAAGTCCATGTAAGTCACTTGCTGTTGTTACTAATTTCTTACTTACAAATTTGTAATTAACATTTTAATAAGGAATTGATTATCATGGAGTTAAATTTTTTATGTTCTAATTTAATTGGTGTTAAGTATTTTTAAAGGACAAAAGTGTATTTCTGCTATACTAATTTTTTAACACAGACTTATTATCATAATACCCTCTTTTGGCGAAGGTTCTTCATTATGTAGTTTCCTAAGCATTTTAGCAAAATACAACTGTTTATTTTGATTATCTGAGGGTATAGTTGTTTTAAGTAATAAGATACATCGGTTGAGGATTTTAATATAAATATATATAGAAAATACCTCAATTAAAAAGAAAATTATTTTGTTTACTTTAAATGAACAACTGTAACATACATTATATGTATTAAAGACATATCCTCATTTTACTACTGTGCTTAGATCTTTGAAAATAATTTTATTATAAATTTCTAAGCATTTTGGAATTGCCATTCTAGGATATGAAATAGTTTTTTCTCTAGATCTATATTTATAGTACAGATTTTGGATTTGAGTTATTGTCACTGATTAGACTTTGTTTTGATTCTTCAAACTAATTTTAATGTATAACTTTATTTTTCAGCTATCTTCAGGAATTTCAAGACAAAGGTAAATTTTCATGTTTGTCAGACTTGAAAGTTTTTTTTCTTTTGTGGATGTTTTCAACAGGCTAATCTAATACATACTGAAATTCAATAGTTGAAATCAAAATTTAAATTTCCATAATGTATACATAGACCTTCAAGATGAGAGTGCTAGCTCCCCCTGCTGAGAAAAAAATTAAAAAGCATATCCAGAATCTGCACTGTCTTCTGATGCAAATATCGTATATATTTAGCATTTTTAAGTTTTGTGTTTCTTAGAGTACCTTGTGACAAAAAAAAGTGTTAGGAAAGGCATATTCCTGCAATCACACATGGAATAATTTGGTGAAGCAGGAGTGAGCTATTAACCCAATGCTACTTAACACTGCAGAGATTGTTTTCTAGTAGTGTGGGAGCAAGAGGGCCTGTGGCCGAGTGCTCACTATGGCCAAGTGCTCACAAGTAATGTTTTCGGAGGATTTTTTTTTTTCTTTTAAAGATGTGGGGTACAATTCAGGAAAGAGTTGAGGGATGTTTTGAATACAGTGTAAACTTTTATTTGAGAACAAGAATAAAATCTTTTTCAAATACTAGTTTTTATTTTCCTTGCAGTTCTTTTGATTTGACTAAATGTGTGCCATATACATTTTTAGAGAAGAGAATCAGTTTCACGTTTTTGAAATATGTGACAGTGCTGGAAACTTGATTGTCTTCCATTAGATTTGAGAGACAGCTGCTTAGCAAACTGAAAACCAGATCAGGAAAGGTATAGGAAGTTCCTTATACTTCATGCCTTCAGTTCTCCAAGGGAATGTGGGTATGACCCTTACTTCTGTGAGGCTAATTCATAGGTCATGACCTACCATTTGAGGATGCTGGTATGAGATTCACAATATGAGGTCAGTTTACCTACATGGAGCCAGTTCTGGGTTTGAGGAAGACACACAGTGTGGCACCTTCTAACTGAGGTTAGAAGATCCCACAGACTAATTCATATTTGTGCCAACTGATAAGTGAGAGGTTAATGACAGCTTCAATGAACCAAACATCTAGCCATACAAACCTAAAATCAGTTAAAAGGAAATCAGAGTTCCTTTTCACATTGAATCATCAAGATTGGCATGGTTGAAGAGGATGAGAAGAGACTGTTTTTCGTATTAAGATTTTAAACATAGAAATACAGAAACGATCAGAAAACACCTGCTCTCTACAAATATTCATTTTTTGTGCTCTACAATAAATCCCAAACTATAGGTTTAATCATGTTACATTTTGCTGGGTTGAGTATAGAAATGAATTTATGCACTTTAGTTATAACTTTTATTATATAGTACTTTATTTATGGAGGAATATTAGCGATCAGATTCTACCTCTCTTAAAAGGCTTATTTTGCTCCAGTGATTATTTATTGAGCTCACATTGCAGTTTAATTATTTGTAAATTTAAACATTTTTAAGCTAAAAAAGCATGGTAATATGAAGTCATTGTATAATTGCATATGGACTAGGAATAGTGTAGGAACCTTCCCTTTGGTGTTTTATTTTAGAACTTGTTCAGGTGTGCGGATATTAAAATTACATTACTGAGATAGATTCTTTGTCTCCAAAGAGAACAGAAGTTTACATAGCATTTGATACAAATTGAAAAATGAGCCTAAAATAAGTATTCAAATAATGTGGAATTCAGAGATTCCCTATAATCATTTTCCTCTGAATAAATCATTTGTAGTTCAATATTGCTGTATTGAGTTAACTAATCACTAAGAGTATCTGTTCAAAAGTAAGCCTGTGGATAAATTAGATGTATACTTTGGAGAAATATGAGAAGCTGAATAATTTTATGTCATTGTGTTCTCAAAGTATATTCAGTTTTGCTCTAAAAAGACTATTCCTATGGTTTGTTAGGCAAGGCAAAGGGTACAGACCTGATAGTTGCATAGTAATTATTCATGATTCAGTGCATCTCTTTTTAAAAACAGGAATTTATTATCAGATCTCTATTATCAGATTGAGTAAATTCAATTTATGTTTTAGTGGTGCTGCTTTTTTCCCCACCTTACATTATTCCCTTGAGATTTTGAATTATCTTCATCCAAGGAGATCTGTTCAGAATTCTTGTTGGCTGCTTTCCTGTTCTTTCTTGTCCCTCTTTTCTTTCCCCCTCCCCCGCTTCCTCTGGTCAATGTAGGGTCACAAAGAAGTGAACAGAAGCTGTTTTCCTCCTTTTTACCTTTAAAAACCTATTTGATTTACCTATTCTTTTTAAAAATGTGATAGTTAAGTACCATTTTAATATAGTATTGGGGGGAAAAAAGGACCAGGTAGAGGGTTCTTAAATAAAATGAGTTAATCAGATTTATTTGTTTCCAATAAGTCAGTTATTAATTTCTTTAATGTACACAGTTGTCTATTATCCCTCCTGTGTTCCATCCCATATCTCTCCCTTATACTCTAGATAATCTCCCATCCTGAGATTTAGTAATACAGATTTTACAGTTTGAGGTATTTCAATCTTAACATTAATTGAATTGATATGATGAAACACTAAGCAGCATAGATCTTAGGAGGGTTCTTTTTTTGTATTGCCATTTTTTTTTGTGAGAATAGTTTATATTGATAGAAACTTATTATAGTGGCTCCTAGATATTATAGCTTGTGCATTAAACTAGTTTTCCACTTGTTATTTCTACTTATTTCCACAGAAAGCTGTTATTGTCAGACTTTTTCATTTCTTTAATTTTTCAAGAGTCTTCTTTTATCTCCTTATCTCCTTATATAAATTCCCCATTGAAGAGATCTGACAAATTGCAACTTTAGAATAATTATCACTTGGTTTTCTAAATTTCTTAATTTTACTTATACTTATTAAAGATTTAAATCTAGTCAGCTAGAACGCATCTTGCTTAGTCTAGTCCCTATTATTCATTTGAAATATTGCCTATTTTATGTAGAATAGAGAGTTCCTTATATCCTTCAAAGTATTGTACTTGACAGATTAAATAACGAACTGTACTTTCCTAGTTGTACTATCACGTAGTACTATAAAATATCCTCTTGAATATAGGCTCCTTGCATTGAAATTATGCTGTATAATTATTTTAGAATTGTTCCCTGTCACATGACAAGGTCATAGTTCTCATAAATGTGACTTGAAATAATTATTTTTGCAGTGAGAGAATATATTGCTATTTGAGTAAAGACTGTTATTGGCTATTAACTAGAATTTTTAAATACTGTATATATTAAGTATATAATTTTAAAAGTTTTACCCATAGTTGTATCTTGATCTTATATTAGTCTCTTTTTTCTTCAGTGATGATTTAGGTTTGATTACTTTTTTATAGAATGCGTCAGTGAAATAAGGTAATGTGAAAATACCTGTGCATGACACATAGTAGGTGTTTATAAATAGTAAGGCATATTCATAGGTTCAGCTTCATTTGTCAAGAAGATTTATATTTATCTTGATTCATAAATTCAGTTTTCAGATAATTTGGGGGAAATTATAAATTATTAAAAGGAAGGCATACATATTAACATGAAACAAATATTTCATGAGAATGTTTTTCAAATTTGTAAAATGGTGGTGGTGTCCACAGTTTTAAAAAATGTGAATATGTTGCTTTAGATACTACAACTTAAAGCCTCTTATTTTCTCCTTTAAAATCTTTTTGCTCTAACTATAAAAATATTGAATGGATTTTACTCTTAAGACTCCATTGGTAAGTATGCATAGATTTAGTTGGGAAGCAGTTTCCTTTGACCTTCTCACTAATTATTTCTTAAGTTTATTAATGGACTGAACATTTTTTTAAAGTAGCAGGAGTGTTAGATAAGAAGGTATCCATTTTAATTTGTCCTAATAGCAGAAAAGTCTGACATTTGAATGATGTTTAATTTCTTTCTTTTAAATCCTTCATAACTTAGTATATTTTCTGTTGGAAGTTAGCTCTACAATGAAATCTAAGCAAATAATTTACAGCTTTTTCCTTCCTCCACCCACCCCCACCGCTGGCCTTGTATAGATGTGTTGAGCATGTTTGAGATTAGGAGTCCCGTAGTAGCAGAAGTAGATTTCAGAGGCAGTGCTTGAAAAATAGTATCCTTATTTTAAAGCTCTGCCTCAGTTTAGTACAAGAAGTTGTCTTTACTATTTGCATGCTAAAGATTAGCCCAACTATTGTAGAAGAATTGTGAGGAGAATCTTCTTATTTTCGGTGACCTGTATCCTTCAGAACCTTAAGAGTTAAACTTCCCTTAAGAAATGGCAAGTTAAATGCTTGCTTCTGTATATTTAGCTGTATTTTATTACTTGAAGAATTAGTTTGGACAAGTGAACTCAGTAGAGAATTAGAAATTAATTTGTTTTCACTAGAGTAATTTTTCCCCCAAGTTTATCTTTCATGCTCTGTAAGAAGGACTGGTTATCACATTTTTAGGTACAGGTTGAGTAGTATCTCTTATCCAAAATTCCTGGGACCAGAAGTTTTGGGTTTCACATTTTGGACCATTTGTATATATATAATGAGATACCTTGGGGGATGGACCCCAAGTCTAAACATGAAAGTCATTTATGTTTCATATACACCTTACACACATGGCCCAAAGATAATTTTATATAGTATTTTAAACAATTTTGTGCATGAAACAAAGTTTGTGTACAGTGAACTATCAGAAAGCAAATGTATGGTGTGGAATTTTCTCTTGTGGCATCATGTTGATATTCAGTAAATTTTGGCTTTTAGAGCATTTTGGATTTCAGATTTTTTGAATAGGGAAGTTCAATCTGTATACTGTTGTATAATGTTTACCTGATTCATGTTTAAAATAGGGCTGTTTTGAAAAAACAAGCAGCAAATTGGGTAAATCACCTCCAATGGTGGTAGAGATCATGGCTGTTCACTTGCCGTTGGTATGCATTTCTAGACATTTGGTGAAAATGTTAATTGATGATGAACCATATAAAAAAGAACAACTAATCGTGATTTGAACCCAACTATTACAAATTTAAAATTGGTTTTCAGAGAAATATGCTGCTGTGGTATGATTAAACCTTGATTTTGTTGTGATATTTAAGTTACGACTGAAATTATAGGAGGAAAGTCTTGGATCATTGTCTTCTAGACTGTTAACTTTGTATTGTTAATTAAACTTTTGAAAGTTGTGGGATAAATCAAATGGTTTTCTAGGGAAACAAGAAACAGTATTAATGAGCAACAACCCCATAATTATACTTGTGAGTACATAACAGGGACACATTCATGTCTTTTCTTTGGGCAATAACTTTTACAAAGAAGTATTTTTAAACTGATCATTAATTTTATGACCACAGAAATGAGATGCAAAATTTATGCTGTTGTCATTGGCACAGACTCAAGGCACCACTGACATTATATGTGATTGTAATAGAATGGCTGCCAACTAATGATTCTGTAGACATTTCATTTGAGCACGCTTTTCTTTTAGATGTCTGATTAGGCTGTAATGCTTTCAATTATGTGTGTAAATTGTATTGGATACGTTTACCTGATGCCCGTTGTTGATTTGGAGTTCAGTTTTCTATTACATCAACACAAGTTGAACATTTTCCTTTTAATTTATAGAAGTCTTTGCAGGTATAGCTACAATAGCCCCTGGGGAGGAAAAATGCTTTGCACTACTCAACAGCGACCCCTGTGCTCAATTAAAGCTCTTACAAGACAGCAAGACAGCAGCTTTTACTCTTAGTGGATTGAAAAAAAGGGGGGGGGAGGGTTGGATCATCACTGGAACAATAAATAGTAAGATGAAGAAGACCTTGTTGAAAAATATGTCCTTTCAACTTAATACAGGTTAAAAAGGGAATAACCCTGTATAGATTATTGGGTAGATTCTTTGCTTTCTGCATTAATTCATAGGATGCTGGGGGAAAAATAAGGAATAAATGAGGCCAGTAGCTGTACTTTATTTTATCTTAGATAAGTATAAATATCACACTGATTTTTATTTTGTTTTCTTTTTTTGGATGAGAACACATGATGCAGCACACACTGATTTTTACAAAACGGTGCTTGCAATGAGCTCCAGTTATTAGAATGGAAAAGTTGAAGACAATTTCACGTTAATATATTAACTGAAAAGTATTTAAAAAAAAATAAAAAACCACAGATGTCTTTAACATGTCAGTGTAAATTTCATGTAGAGTAAATATTTTTAACTCTTGTTAAATATTGTTGAGTTTATAGCTTTACGTAATGATCTTTTGCTATGTGTGTATATATGTTATATATATTTATTGAATATAGGTTGGTGTGTGCATCTGTGTATATGGATGTGTATATAGATGTATATGCACACATATACATAATAATGGATTTCATCAAAGGATAACTAATTTTCAAAGTTTTTAAGTTTTAACTTTTTCTCTTTATTTCCACAGAGTTTAATAGGTTTAAACCTAAGCATTTTATTGTTTTTAAAAATCTTTTCCATATATTCTTTGGTTTTACTTTTACTAGTTTTTAAAAAATAGTCATAATAGCATCAAATGCTACATACTAAATTCTGGTGATGTTTTTGAAGTATCCTAATCCAATCCTTGCTTCTTTCTTACAGCAAGATTTTTTTAAAAATGTGTGGTAAGACCTATCCTTAGAAAATGTATACCATAAGAATTCTTACTTCATTAAGAATATGAAAAGTCTAGCAACTAAGATTGAGCATTTCTTAGTCTCTGCTGCATATTCCACGAACTGTCACAGCATGTTCAAAATATTTTTACTAAAACTTTGTGAAATTCCTACTTACCTTATATTTGAAATCAAGGCCCTCTTCTTTTATTTATTTACTTATTTTTATTATTTTAGAGAGGAGTTCTTGCTCTGTTGCCCATACTGGAATGCAGTGGCACTATCATAGCTCACTGCAGCCTCAAACTCCGGGCTCAAGCAATCCTCTTACCTCAACCTCCAGAATAGCTAGGACTACTGGCATATACCACCATGCCCAGCTAATTAAAAAAAAATTATTTTATAGATTACATGTTTATGTTGCCCAGGCTGATCTCAAACTCCTGGCCTCAAGCAATCCTCTCACCTTAGCCTCCTGAGTAGCCAGGATTATAAATGTGAGCCATCGTGCCTGGCATAGCACTCTTCCTTTCATAAGAGAAATATTGTAAGGGATCACTGAATGTTCTGAAAAGTACTTTGAACATTTTGAAAGAAAGATAAATTAAGATCTGAAGAATGAGTAGTGTGTATATGTGTTCTTTAGAATTTTATTTTATTTTTTGTGTTGGAGTCTCACTCTGTCACCCAGGCTGTAAAGTGCAGTGCTATGTTCATGCTCACTGCAGCCTTGGGCTCAGGTGATCCTTCTACCTCAGCCTCTCGAGTAACTGGGACTACAGGCACATGCCATCATACCCAGCTAATTTTTAAATTTTTGGTAGAGATGTGGTCTCACTGTGTTGCCCAGGCTGCTCTCAAACTCCCGGGCTCAAGCGATTCTCCCACCTCGGCCTCCCAAAGTGCTAGGATTAAAGGTATGAGCCACCATACTTAGCTGTATTCCTTAGAATTTTAATGGAAGAAACTTCATATTTAGTGGCACCCAGTGACAGAGGATGACAAAATGGACATCTCTATGTTCTGCCCTTGTTGTCTTAATGAGAATTGTTTCTATCTTTCCTTTTTTAGGATAAGGATGACAGTTGCTCACAAAATGGCCAAATTATAAGAAAGTGGAGAGGAATATTTAGTTTTTAAATCATTTTTTGGCAGTGCTATCTTGTAAGAAGCTATTTCCTCTATAAAAATTTAGTGATAAATAGGGTGACAGACACTAGATGGCTGTCAGAGGATACAGATATCCTTTTGGAGAAACTAGTAGTTTTAATCTGGATCTGCACAGGAACTGGGGTTTAAAAATAATGTAGGTTTTTTTGGGAGTTCCTGTGAGGATTTTCACTGTGCTTTTGGGTAATTGCTGAGGTGGCTGTTTTTTTTCAGGCAACTTGAATGGTTAACAATTAAGTATTTGATATAGTATTAAGCATACATTTAGTTTAGCAAATATCTCAATTAAAAAAAATATTTCAAATGAGTATATGGAAAAAATTCAAACTGCAAGATCTTGTGAAGATTAAATGACCTAAAAATAAATGAACAAATAAAACAAATGTAGGATTTGAAAAATCAAGTAGGAAACCGGCCAGAAAACTTTTTTTAAAAAGGTAACATGCCAGGGTATGAAACTGGAAGGGCCTAGTTTGTAAATTACCTTCTTTGAATTTAAAAAGATTATATGAATTTGAAAGCATTTTTTCTGGTAAAGGATTCTTACTCTGGAACTGAATGCACCTGAATATTTTTAATTTACTCTAATATAATCCTGTGATTTTTAAATGAAAGCACAATATTCATAATTGCTTCAAGCTATTAATTTCTCAAATTATTGATTAGGTAAATAGAATTACTTGAATTATTTTCTCTGTTGTGCTTCTTCTTGTTGTTGTTACTTTGGTTTTGTTTGATTGGATACACACTTGTTTTACCCTGCTTCTACTTTTTGAATTCTTTTTTGTGGAGACACCATAATTTTGGGACTGTATCCTTTTGTATCACAAATAAGCAGTTGTATACTGACCTTCAAAAGCTCTTACTATATCTAAATTACAATGAGTATAAACTAACCTAGGACCTGTTTTTACTTAGTTCAAAATTTTCTTTGTTTTTCCATGACAATGACTGAATTTAATAGTAAAATTTACCTCTTCTAACAAAGTAACATTATTTTAAATGACTAAATTATAAATAGCATTTTTCTGATTTTTTTTTTTGAAACAGGTGATACAGAGGATGGGGACGAATATGATGACCCTTTTGCTGGGCCTCCAGACACTATTTCATTAGCCTCAGAACGATATGATAAGGATGATGACGCTCCTTCGGATGGTATGTGATAGTCTGTCATAGAACATACCTCTTGAAACTTGCACACAAAACAATGCTATGTGTAGAGGTGGTGGTCTTATTAGAAAGCAGGTAAACATAGGGGCTTCAGTTAACTTACCTTTACCAAAACCTTTTAAGGAACAGAAGAGCTCTCTCTAGTGGTTCTAGTGAGGTTTTCCTAAGTGTATAGTTGCTTTTCCTAGAACATTTTCCTTACTAAAATTTTTAGGAGAGTGCTTGTATCATTATATGAATATTACGAGTAACAATTTGTTTGTTAATTTAATATTATCAGATTCTTGCTTAATTTTATTGTGCTACTTAATGACTTGTATTATTTATATTATAAATAATGAAAAAGGTTTTGATCTATTTTTTCTGAAAACTTTATATAAAATGAGTTCATAAAATATTAAATTAATTATTTCTACATTTGGCTTCTCATGTTGAGACAGGTTTTTATCATATGCTTCTTTTAATACACATTTTCATTTTTCTGACTGTCACTTAAAAATGCCCCATATTATGCAGTAATATTATAGTGTTTTGTATTAACTGAATTAGTAATAAAATTGATTGTTTATATCTAGTAATTTCTGAAAGACATTGAGTGTTACCAAAGTTGTGAAACTTGTTTTTAGTGTAGCATGTGCTTTCTCTGTTACAGTTGTTGAGTGCATCTGTATTATAGAAACCTTATAAGGGTGATATACTTATAAATTAAGAATGTGTATCGATAAATTAGCCATACATATTAATTTGTGGCACTCAAAGTTTCACAGACATAGAAATGAATGATGCCTTCTGCCACTATATGATGATCAAACTGTGCGGTTCCATCTCTAAATACAATTGCTGAGTGAAAATATGCTTCCTGCAACAGAGCACTTCACATTTTATGTTATCCAGATTATTCCCTTTGGAAACATAAATTGCTTTTATGAGGTATAAAATTATGTCTATTGCAGAACAGGGATAAGTCAAGTACATGCATAAGTGATAAACATTCTAACCACTTATTCAGTACAAAACAATCTTTTTTATATCAAGAACTTTGTACAAAGGAAGGCAATAATAATCATATCTATTTTATGTTAAAATTTTATACTTTGGTAAACATTTAATTTCTATTTTTAAAGGAAGTGATTTTTTTCTTTTATATTCACTTTCTATCTTTTAGAAAGGTACATATTTCTCTTCACTCACACATATTATCCAGACATTACCCTTTCTAACCTCATCTTCAAAAGCATTTCTACCAGAAAATGTTTTATAATTAATGAAATAATATTTTCAAACAATAAATTATTTAAGTTCTACTTTTCAGACATATTATAGTTGTTTTATATAAGTCTCTGTAAAACATTGGTAGATATGAATAAGTATGTGTGCCTTTTTAAAATACATACAGAGACAGAATATTTATACTAAAGAGAATGTATATGCACACGGAATATACATATATCCTCAGAATTTCTCAAAGTGGTGCAAACATTTTGATACACAGGGGAGTGTTGTATGTATTCTTTAAAAATTGCAAATTAAAAAAATTCAACAATTAAATATCTTTGAGAGCCAAAAGTCCTCTAGTAATTTGTTAGAAAAGTGAGTTGTTATTAAATGATAGTGTAGGTACATGATTCTTATGTTTTCTTTTTAAAAAGTGAATAATTTATCATATGTTTTCATAACTAATATATAGAAAATACTATCATGAAAAAGATATGTTCAAAGTTTATCTTGTTGATACTTACATATAATTTATTAATATTTATGTATTGCATCAATTTTAAAATTACATATTAGTGCGTATTCATTAGTGTTTAAGCAATTCTTGAGCAGCATAAAATTTAATCTTTAGTATTATTCACTGTTGATATATAAATAATACTGTTTTTATAGTTTTACATTTTCTTCTAAGAATGTTATAAAATAATTTTCAGACATTCACTTGGACTTTTTATTTTCACTGTAGAATATCATCTCATTATATCAGTGTTCCTCCCTGCAACTTAGAGTTTGTGTGCATTCCCCTTCCTTTGCTGAATAAATTTTCCTTCATTATGTGACTTCAGTCTAATGATATATTAATTATAAAAAAGATAATGCATTTAACAATAAGGATAACCAAATTAGCACAGGTCACCAAAAGGCCTTTTGTCAAATCAGATTGTTGTTTTGTCCTTTTGACTTTTACCTTATGGTAGGCACTAACAAAGTATCTGAACTTTGATGGATTATAAACTCTAAACATGATATGTATTTTTCATAATGCTAATGTAATTTTCAGAGTACTGAAAAGGTCAAACCTGCACATCTCTATGTGCATTCTAAGTCTGTCTTTCGCTTTAATATTTCTTTTTCTCTGTTCCTCTGGTTCAAAAGTTCACTCGGTTCCCAAATGGCCACCTAATTTTCTAGTTATTCCCTCAAGCCATATGTGTTTTGGTTTCTTTATGGTTTATTAGGTACTGTAGGAAAGTAGCATAAGTTATATCTTCTAATGAAATTCAAGCACACTTCAGTGATGCTTCGACTTGATTGCTGGTAGCAATTAAATCACAGCCAAGGAGAATAATGCATAATTTCACAAGGTCCAGACACCCTATAGAAATTGAATGTGGATGAAAACAGAAAACAAAAACAAAGTCACCAAACCCTGCCAGACATGCTGTTTCCAGCCTGCCTTTTTTTTTTTTTATTGGCTAACTGTCTGATTGATAGCAAAATCATAACTTGCTGCATGCTAACAGGCAGAGTTCACTTGTAGGTTATTGTGAGCTGATAAAGGGTTAGATGGAGTTTTGATTTTCGCATTGGACCTTGGAACACCAGATTAATGGAATTTCAATGAGAGACTAGAGTAGCCACAGCTTTGTCAGAGAAACAGATGGAGATTCTATAGTGATGTCTACTCATTAATACTAGTTGCCAGAAAGGTGTGCTGCTTCTCTATACAAAAGAGTTGATATAATTGATTTTTGAGTGGTACATTGAAAAAAAAGTACCTTATTGATGACTAGAATTGCAACATGAATGTTGACAGGTTTTTATATAGCTTGTAGCATAAAAGTGTACTTTGTAAACACTCTTTATGTTTTATATATATATATATTTTTTAGAAGAAATACATTTTGGGACCAATAGCAAAAAAGGAGAAAATGACATGCTAAATTACCTTTTAGGGAAAAGAGTAAGAGTCTGTATTTTATTTATAAATTGTTATATAACTGCTGTTATAGTTTCATTTTAGTGTTGCAGTATTTACAAAAATGAATACTTATCAGAAATTTCATTTTATTGACTTTATGCTTTATTTTTCTGGAAAACTAAAAAAATAATGATTTCAAGACTATTGTGGATCACTGTTAGAATTTTCATGCTATTGTGTGGTTGAATGTATTGGAGTTTTAATATAAATGGTGCATGTCAGTAATCAGGTAAAATTAGAGATAATGATACTTAAAACCTTAAAGAATATCCCTTATTGTACACATGTTAGAATGTTTGGACACTAAGGAGGTAGATGTAGGGTAGCATTTAGACACTATATAATGACTTGGGTTTCCATTTTTCTATTCTGAAATCATTTTTCATTCATTTTTGTCATTTGTGAAAGAAAGCTTCTAACCACGGAGCATTGTAGAAAGTCCCTGAGGTAAAGTGAAAGGATTCAGTGAGCTAGAAGACATATATTGGCTCTGCCCGTCGATGATAGGTCGAAGGATCCCAGTGGACATTTGTAACAAATCTGATTCAGTCCTAGGCTATAATCACTTTGTGGATAAAAATCTGGAACCTCAAGGGTATGAATACAGGAAGGCTAAAATGAAGCTTCAGATATTAAACAGTCATTTGTTGTCCTGGTATCTTCCTAACTAAAAATTCCCAAATAACATAGGTTACTGATAGACTGTCGGCATTTCAAGGACATAGGTTTATTTGAAAAACTATTTTTAAAGAATGAAGTTCTTTTTTAAGGTATGGGGATTAAGAAAAAGGCTAAGCTGTTTTGATAATAATTTATACGATTAAAATGCTTTTTCTTTTTTTGGTATACTTTTCTTTTTAGAAAAATCCAACGTATAAAAATTTGGATTTATAAAGCATGTAAATTGCTTTTTCCAAAGAATTTCTTTCAAAAGGATCATCTTCAGGATGCCTATAAATAATGAGTTCTCACAGTGCATCTCAAGCAGGCTTAGATATAAATCCGTCCATGTGCACACACATAAATTTAGTGTATCAAACTTTTGAGGAAGATATCTTTTCTGTAAAATTAGGTATACCGCTAATCAGTTTTTGTAGAAGTCAAGCAATAGATGTTTTACTTTTCTCTGGATATCAGTAGAATATGAAACAATGTTTAAAACTAGAAAAAAAAAGAGTTTCAATAACTTAGCCTTTAGGGTGAGTGTTTTTCTACTATAGTATGATATTTTTGATACTTAAAACTATATTTTTGCTTTTTATTCTGAGAATTTGACATATTTTTGCATATATGACATATATTATTATTGCATTTTTGTTTCTAAAGGTTTTTTTTGTTATTTCAACATACCAAATTGCTAGCTTGTTTTGTATATGTTTTAGCAGTATACGAACGATGATTATTTTAGTCATTCTGTTTTGTGTATAGCACGGATTCAAGTATTTTGGTAGAAGGAAGGGAATTATAGTTGGGGAAATGATAAAAAGTAGAGGACATGTTTTTAATCCTCAAGATATACATAGATTGGGAATATAAAGTGCACACGTGAAATATTTTTGTGATACAAAGAAATATTTGAGTAAATGAATACACATAGCCGTTGAGAATCATCTTTTCAAGTTTTTATGCTATTGAATGGAAAAATATGTCAGAATAACACAGAGTGAACACTTAGTACAATAACAAAGTGAGTGGGCTAAACAAAAAAGATTGCAAATAAATTTTGAAAGTAATACAGCTCAATATTATGAAAAAGAATGCATTTTTAATTCAGTAAATTAACAATTAC